CGGAGCAGCAGAGAGCTGCGGGGACAGGGGGCTGGAGCCACGCACGGGGCGGCACACAGAGCTCACTCACGTTGGCGATCTGCTCCTTCAGCAGGCGGATGATTCTCCGCTGGCCCTTCACCACCTGGATGTTGAAGTAGATCATGGTTCTGCAACGCACTCCCTACTCACAGCAGGACTCCAGACACGACGAAGAAGAAGAAGGTGTTCTCCACGAGGTACTGGTAGATCCAGGTAAACCAGGTGATGTTTGGGTTGGACTTCTCCAGCAAGCGCACCCAGGTCTTCCCTGACTCGTAGATGGTTCACTCCCTACTCACAGCAGGACTCCAGACACGACGAAGAAGAAGAAGGTGTTCTCCACGAGGTACTGGTAGATCCAGGTAAACCAGGTGATGTTTGGGTTGGACTTCTCCAGCAAGCGCACCCAGGTCTTCCCTGACTCGTAGATGGTTTCCAGCCCCTGGAATGGACCACAGGTTTCCGATGGCTTCACCCTGAGCGGACAGAGCGCAGGCGTCAGCGGGCACTGTTCTGTGTGGGGGACTGTCAGGCTCTGCACATCTACAGGGCTAGCAGCCCCTACCCCTAACTCGGGGCATGACTCTGACCCACATTCCCAGGCCTCCACGGTCCACGCTTGGCCCTGCTCCAGGCAGCTGGACAAAGGGGTCCTCACCCCCATGCCCTGCAGTCGGGAACATCTGGAAACAGCTCAACGGCTGGGAGAAGCAGGCACAGCGCAACTGCTGCTGTGCCTTGTGCGACAGCCAGCGCGCGGCCAGTGTTTCGCCGCTGGAGAGAGCGTTTCATGGCTCAGCGCTGGGCGCGACATGCTCTGGAGGAGGCACTGCGTCCCCACGTCCCCACTCCCTGCGCCCGGCTGCCCCGGGCAGCAGGCAGCTCTGCACTGCCAGGCTGTGCCTCATGGGGTACTCACGACCAGATGGTGTAGGAGAGGAAGATGGCTGCACCCAGGAAGGACGGGAAGCACAGCAGGGTGATGAAGACAGTGCTCATATGAGACGCTTGCCAGGGCTTGCTGGGGGACTGGCAGTTTTGCATCAAGCTGGTCTGCAGACAAGGAGCAGTGTGTTACGTGCTGCTGTCTCCTGCGAAGCGACCCCAGGCTGCCTCCCGTCCCGTCCAGAAGGAGCTGAGCCAGCTCAGGGCTACCCTTTCCCCTGCAGCGCCTCTTCCCCCCCGCGGATGGGACCGCTGGCTGCATGGTGCAGCGTTTCTGCGGCACGCTGTGCCAGGGTGCAGTGTGGCTGCGGTGCTGCCCGCCGTGGAGAGCAGCCGGGAGCCACGGGGCCAGCGGGCG